TGTTTGCGCTATGAATGTTTTCCTCATATTTTATTAAAATGATTAACCTATGTTTAGATTTTCCTTAAATAAGATTTTCCTTAAACTTTCCTTTTAATTACATTATTATAGAATTCGCATATCGGCGAATATATACGCATACCATTCAAATGTTATGCGCATAATTATGCGCATAGTTATGCGCATAATATGCATATGATGCGCATACAAATTTAACCGATAAATGGTATGTGAAATTAATTATTGTCAAATATAGAATAAAATGTTTTTTAAATCGAACGCAAGTGACTTTAAATTAAAAAAAATATTTTAAATTAAAATCAATTATTTCAAATTATTTTCATGACTACAAAATTGAAAAAATATATTACAAAACTTGGCAATTTAATTTCTTTTTGTATTACGTTTGCTCATTTATAATTTCTTCACACTCGAATTTGCTGAGAACTGCTCCTTTCTCTAAAATGTAGTCATTTTTATCGTTTGTATTCATCAAAACACTATTGGTATAAATGAAAACTAATTTTTTTACGCGTTCGTTTGTCAAGCGATTACTCAATTGTGAATGAATAAATCGAAAAATTGACCAAGTTCTCTCTGCTGTTGCTGACGAACAAATCATTTCAACAATAGATTTTGCAACTTCAAAGACTGCTGGATATTTCTGACGACCAACAATATTCTAATAATTCTCTGCGCTCATTTTGAAAATCGTCTCTTTTCTTTTTTCTGTCAGTGATGTCATTTCTCCAACAAACTCAATCATTTCACTTTCAACTGTCTCAGCAACTGTTGGATTTGTTTTGGAGGCTAATTCTGAAATTCAACTGATTATATCAGTCTTATACTCACCAAAATAGAATCCTTCTGCAGCATACTTTGGTGTCAGCATATAGACGATTCCCATATTTAAAGTGATAAGGAATTTAAAACGCTTCATAACCATTTCCTGAATATTTTCCTCATTTGCGAATTTCTTGTACATTTCACCAAAATAGTAGTACACCAAAAAAAATGGAGCATCACCATTTTCAAGTCTTCCAATGATGTTGGAAGAATATTCGATATCTTTCACAAGTTTTGCCAAACTATCCCAGAAAGCATTTGATTTAATTAGCGTCAAAACAGCGGCCGAATTCGTTTTTGGAGCAATTTCTTTCAAAGATGCATTTTCCTTAACCGCAAGTTGAATCAAAACATACTTTGCTAGATAAAGGTTGTTCATTGAATTAAAATGACTGAGCCATCGAGTTAAAACAGGCATTGTGAATGAGCGTTGAATATTAGCTGCAATTCTCATTTCATCAAACTTTGTTTTAACAATAGGATGATTTTTCACAAACTTGATAACTTTTTCAGCTTCTTTGATGGTCTTTGAACTTTCAGCAGTACTCAAAATGTCCTTAACGAGAAGATTCATACCGTGTGCTGCACAGCCATACGTCGAGATGAGTGGAAATTTTTCTTCAATCGAATTCCAAGCAGCTTTCATTACTGGAGCGTTGTCAGTGATAATGCTTCTGAACTTTTGTGGACCGAGAGTCTCAATTACTTCAATGACAGCACAAGCAACAGCTGCAGCGTTTTGAATTATGCCCAATGTGTTGATTGAAGTATAGAAAAAAAGTTTTGTATTTCGTGTCTTGACACAAAAATTCACTATATGATTGCCTCCAATATTTGTCCAACCATCACTGAAGAGCGTCAAATTTTCAAACGATTCGAGAATTTCTTACAATTTAGCGGAGCATTCTGCGTACTTTTTATCAAGAAGCAAACCTGGCAGCGTTTTCGCGCACGGTATTGATGATGCATGCAATGGTTTAATTGCTTTGATTAAATCCTTAAAAGCTCTTCGTCTCAACGAGACGAAGAGATATTCCAGTTTGGAAAAAGAAGTTTGCTTATTTCATATCGATTTTTTTATTTAATTCTTCAGGATTCATCACATTATTGACTACTTCGTAAGTTTCAGCTGAGATTATAATGTTGTTATCGAAGTTGATTAATGATTAGGCTTTTCGTTTTGCAAAAAATCGTTTCTCATCTTCACTAGCGTTTGAACATAATGTTCGTTTATGTGCTGCGACGCGATTTTTTCCCCATTGAACTGTCTTTTAGCAGGTAATGCAAGTTCCAGTTCTCTTTACTGTATCGAGATTTTGCAAATATCTATTTGTTGTAAAGTTTTCCATTCTCTTTCTGTTTGCTGAAAAACGTCTACTTAAACTATAAACTTTTAAGTTTTTTATTGGTTCATTTTTTGGTATCAAAAGCACATTAATTTTAAATTTCATTAAAACTAGTATTAAAACTCGTTTTTTTGTCTGTCTGTCTAGTCAAAACAATTTAACGGTTTTTAGTGATTTGAAAGCGGAAAAGAGTTATGCGCATAAGTATGTGTAAAATTATGGGACTGTGCACAATTTATCGGCGAATATTGTAGCATACAAATTTTTTCAAACCATACATCATTATAATGGATTTTTCGCTAACTGGTTGTCTGATTCAATTTTGCATAATATATTTTCTAAATTAGAATTATCAAATGTCAGATAAATACTTTCTACCAGAAATTAATATCGTCCTTTAGCTAGGTATGCCGAAATCGTGTTTTACGGAACGCTAAAAATCTTTACCACGTTTTTTTATTTTTATTTTTTTGTATGTAACATCAGATAAATGTTTTTTAAGGTACTTATTTTAGATTTATTGTTCTCACGTCAACTTATCGTTGATGAAATGTTCAGATAATATTCAAATCTATCCATATTTTGATTCACATTTTTTATGCAGATTTCATAGAAAAATGTAATCCAACGCCAATTTAGTGTAGCACTTTTTGTACCTTTTTTTTTTACAATTTGGTTACGGCCGGATTTCTAAAACTTTTTTTCAATGCAGTATTTAGGGCCGGCGCGAGTAGATGTCACGTGGGGGGGGGGGGGGCGTGCCATTACAACTTTTGCCGACTAAAAAAAAAAAGTCCTCGTTTTCCAAAATTTGCCGACTGTCATGAGGACATTTGCCGACTGACTAACCTATATTGAAAGGGTCGACATTTGCCGACTAACTAGTCTAAAAGGGTCCAATTTACCGACTAAGGGTCCAGTTTGCCGACTAAAAATCATTGATGGAGGGGTGTGTCATCCCCCCCCCCACACACACCCCTATCGCGCCGGCCTTGGCAATATTGTTTAGCTTTTAGATTTGGACAGTTCATTTGTTTTATTATTATCTACAAGTTTATAATTAAATATAAACTTCAATTAATAAATATAAATATGCAAATTTATATTTAACTCTAATATATAAGTAAATATTTAGCTAAATATGTATATATATAAATATACATATATACAGTGCTATTGGCCCGTTTCTATTTTCCATGTTTGTGTCTCCGTAAATCGAATTATAGCTAACTTAGATATAATCACCATAAATTTCCTGATGATACTCAACTGTATACTGCCGTCAGACCAGGGATAGACCACATAAACAATATAGCTCAATATGCAAATGTAGTCACAACATGATTTCTTAAAAATAGACTACTGCTTCAAAAAAATCAGAAGCTGTCTTATTTGGAACCAGTAATTTAAATTTAAAGACAAAACCTTATTTTTATTCTCAAATACAACTCTTGCTCAAATTTAGTAAAAATTCTTGGTATTATCTTAGATTCAACACTCTCTAGGGACCAGACCATAAATATATGTGTATATATATATATATATATATATATATATATATATATATATATATATATATATATATATATATATATATATATATATATATATATATATAAATATATAGGTTGCTTTACTATTTACTATTTTTTTTAAACAAAAAGTTAACTTGTTTATTGAAACGGAAAACTAATAAATATTTAATATCGAAATATTAGAAAATTTTCCACGTTTTACCCCACATTTAAAATTTCAATTTCTTTTTAAAAAGTAAAGATAAGTTGTTGATAATCCTTTTGGCTAAAATCTAATTTTAGAACTATTTGGAAGCATATGGCTTTATAATTTTTAAATGACAATCTATTAAAATTGCTCTCTTATAACTCTAATAATAATTGGTGGGCACAAGCCTAAAAGTTGTGTAAATAAGCAGATGATGCAGACCAGAAATTTTACTGTTTGTGGCAATTGAATCCAAACAAGACAAAACAAAAAACAAAACTAAAAAAAAACTAAAAACAAATGCGAAAAAATAAATTAATTACATTAACTACGATTAGTACGCTCAAATGTTGGTTTTATTTTGCAAAATAAGTAGCCGTTGTTCCTAAATGTCTTATAAACAGACGGGGATACCTAATGATTTTTTTTTTTTCAATCCTAGCGGAGCTTATTAGGATTTCCCCGCCCCGTTAATTAATTTTTAACTGAAAAAATTTTACTTCTTCTCGTCAGCGCATTTAACACTTTTAAAGACGTAAACAAAACTAACTCTTGCATAAACACATTAATAACAAGTCTCTATTAGACATCAGAATGAGTGAAGCCAACCAAAAAATCAAAACGAGAAGTGTTTTTGTTTAAAAAATACATTTAAAAAAAATATTTTTAAAACTTATAAAGTTTTAGCACACTGAAAAACTTTTTTTGTATTGCTACAATCTCGTTTATTCCCTTTACTTTAATTAGATTTTAAAAATCATTTCTTTATTATTACAATCATTTTTTCCCCTCCACCCTCTCCACCCTACCTTCTTTCAAAAAGTACCTAGAGTACGTAAACAAAATCCTATTCTTAAAGAATTGTTTCTCACTATATTGTGGGTTATTCGTTTCTGTAAAACGCCGGTCTTGTCTGTTTGCACAAATACAAAAGTTACGTCATTTCTAGTTACTTAATTCGTTATATATTATTCACTTTGTTAGTACCCACACCTTTAATTTGTTTATAACGAATTTCAATTGGTTTAAAATGACGTATACTTTAAAATATGGTAGATGTCAACAAAGCACATTTAAAGGATATGAACCTCATTTTCTTCGAGGATTGTGTAATGGATGAATTTTATGCAAACAAAAAACATTAAATATCAAAAATTTGACTATATAGCAAATTTTTTAATCGGCATAGTAACGTCATGGCTCTTATTTTAAGTTAAATAAATTGCAGTAAGTTTATAATAAAAATTGATGAGACTAAGAACAAGAAAATTTAATTGTACATAGTGTCAAATATACTTTAGTAAAACGTATTGTTAGACTATTAGTCGAAATTCGACGGAGTGTTATATAAAAGCGATATTTATTTATATATATATATATATATATATATATATATATAACATATATATATATATTATGTGTTCTACTTTAACGATGTGTTCTTATGGAGGTTTTTTTAATGGACAAAAAGCTAACATTAGCAACATAACAACTGTAAATAGTATTTTACCAGGTGAACTTGCCGAGGCTCTAGAGACAAATTTAAAAATAAAAAACAATATAAATGATACACACATAGATAAACAATCAATTCAAAATGAAGGTGTTATGTTATTAGATTGTCGTTCTTTTTTAGCCTACAATTTTAAACATATTTCAGGAGCTTTAAATGTAAACTGTACTGGCCTTGTTAAAAAACGCTTACAACAAGGTAAGGCAACACTTGTTGATATGGTTACATCAGAATATGGAAAAGAGTTTTTAAAAAGTGGGAAGTGGGCAAAGGCAGTTGTTTATGATGATTGTACTACCGAACTAGAAAAGTTACCCTCTTCACACCCATTGAAAATTGTTTTAGTCCTATTACATAAACAAGGAAAAGAAGCCTTTTTACTAAAAGGTAAGGTTTTATTGAGTTTTTTGTTTTTAGTTCTTATATGTAATGATAAGTATCATAGATATTTGAGTATTAAACTTCAATTCTAATTATATATTAATACATTCAACAGTGTTTCTATTAGGGTATCACTAAGTAGTAATTAAATTGCTAACTTTTTACTGAGATCTTCTATCCAAATAATATTAATCAGAAAATATCTAGTTAATATTTTTGTTCATTAAATTTACATTAAAATAAACTATAGCCTTAATCTTAAGATTTATTCGGAATGTAATATTTTTAATTTATGTGTTCTCTATGAGACATTAAGCAAAAAAAGATAAATATATTCATTTTCATTTTCCTCTATGCATATGAAATAACTAACCAATAAGGAAAAAATTTAAAAATTTAATTTGTTTTAACCCTAAAAGAAGGCATTTAAAGTTGTCAAAAAATTTTTTTTTCTTTGAACCCATTTTTTGTTTATTAGAAAAAAGTTTTCTAATAAGCAAAAGCAGGCATCGAGAAAACCTTCCCTCATGAAAAAAGTTGACCCTTTTTGATAGTGCTTTCAAAAATATATATTTGAAAATCAAATATTTTTTTAATTGTATATTAAATATCAGGCTTTTTAAAACATTAAAAAAAATTTTTTTATGCCCTGAACTATATGGTTTCAATTTGTACATTAAAAAAATTTAGGAAAGAGATTAAAGCTCTCCAACCTAAATTATTAAACCTATCGCACTAGTAAATCCTGTTTGTTTTCTTTTTTTTAAAGAAAACATATTCCATAATTTCAAATTTTAAAATCTGTAGTGACTTTGCCACTGCTTTTTTAAATGTGATAATTTTTTTAGTATTGTTTTTTTTTTACAGGAATATTTTGAAATGTGTTTAATTCATAATTGGGCTTTTTAGTGTTCTATAACTATAAAGAAATAAATTAATTTCTTTAAAATGGTTTAGAAAAACATTTGTTTCTCTTGTGATAAATTTATGTAATTCCAGGTTGTTGTTGTAATTTTCTTTTTTGAGCCTGATTTTCTTGTTGGATCGGATATTTAGCAGAGTATTTTGATTAGGAATGCTATTAAAATAAATTAAAGTCACTATTTAAATTTTTTTAAAGTTTGTTAAATGTTAAAACTTAATGTAAAATGATATTGAAAATGCCTTATTAGTGAAAATATATCACAATTATTTCAAGCATTTCAAGCTTTTTTACTTATTTGTTTGGTTACCTAAAGATGGTGATGTAAACTAATTGTGAGTTCTATGAATTTTTTTTTTTAGCTTTTCAAAAATTGATTTCAACTTCTTTTCTTTTTTTTGAACCTTTATTTTTTGAGAAAAAAGATTTGGATATAAAGAAATTCGTTTTTCTAAATATTTAACGCTTGTAAAGCTCTCAAAAAAATTCATTTATATTAATAGAATGCCAATAAACTTTTTTAAAGACTTTTTTCAGGACTTTTTTATGTTTACGTTTTAAATAACATTTTTACGCCTTAAAAACTTTTCGAGAAAAAAATACACTCATATTTTTTGAAAAAAAATTCACTCCAGCGGTTCCAGCGAAAAATTTAAATATCTTAAAATTTTTATTTTTAAATGTCTTTTTTAAAAAGGTCTCCTTAGTGACCAGGCAATTATTTTTAATAAAAAATTAAACGGATGTAATTTTTATTCAAGAAACATTATTTTCAGTTTATTTATATAATTTTACAAATATCACTTCACAAAATATTTACTTAATTCCTGTATAAATTTATAAAACAACTTATCCAATACTAGATATATTGACGTCATCAAAGGTTTTATTCTGATGACATAAAATTTGTTTATTTTATATATATAATTTAAGTTTAATTAAAAAAGTAGTTCACTAAAACATGGTAGTAATACTGAGGCAGATCTTAAAATAGTTTTTTTTAAAGCTGGGCTTAAAGTATGCGTCATGTTTGATTTAAATGAATGACCATCTGCCTCATTTTAGATGAATAAATTAGTAACGAGGCCTTTTAATTTACTTTCAATCATCAACAAACTTTTGATTTGGATGAAATGAGCATTCAATAGTAGCTGCTCTAGCACTTTTGATATTCATGTCGTTGAACGGCGATTTTTATGCGAAAACAGTTTAATAACTTTAAGAGATGTTATTCATCAAAAAGGTGCTACTATTTTTTTAAAAACCAAAAATGACGAGCAAGTGTCAACTCTTTATTAACTTCAAACAAGGTATTTGAAGATTATTACATAATTTTGCAAAGATCTTTCGATGTTTGTTTAAAAGACTGTTTTGTTTTGTAGGTGGCTTAAAGGAGTTTTCTCAATGTTATCAAAACCTACTAGCTTTTCATTCTGATCATCCTGACTCAGTTACAAACGCTATTGATCGTATAAATTCTTTAGCAAAATATCATCAGGACATTACTACAAACCAACCTAATCCGAGTTGTCCGCTAAATGTAAAAGCAACTGAAGTTATGCCAAATGTATTTTTGGGAAATGCAACTGACGCAAAAGACGAAGTTTTACACGATCTTCACAATATTCGCTACATTCTAAATCTGACATGTAATTGTCCGAATTACTTTTACGATAAACCCGGATATCATTATAAACAAGTTCAAATAGAAGATTCATGTAAAGAAGATATAAAAGAAATAATTCCTGAAGCTATAAATTTTATAGGTATTTCAAGCTTTTAGTCAACTTCTATTTATAAATATATAAACCTGGATTTTGTTGAGTCACTCTTCAATGAGTCAGTAGTAAACGCGAAAATCGCGCATCAATTTTTAATTCACTTTTTTGAAAATAAATTATCTATTATAATAAAAAGTAAACCGACGAATTTAACTGAAAACACTTTTACGCAAATACTGTATAAATAAATAATTATAAAATGATATAAATTTCTTTATTATGAATTATCTATAATATAAATTTATTTTATAATACAAATTTATAATATATTAATAAGTTTAATATTATTATTAAACTTATTAATTTATTTATTACATATTTGTTTACGATCTTTTTTACATATTTACGATTTTGAAATTTTTTATCTAAACGAGTAAAGTCTATTTTGTCTAGATCAAGCAAGAAGCAACAACTGCTCAGTTCTTATTCATTGTCAAGGTGGCGTTTCTCGTTCGCCCACAGTTACAATAGCATATCTAATGCACGCAAATAAACAGCCGTTTAAAGAAGCTTACGAATTTGTTAAACTGAAACGCCCATGCATTGCTCCTAATCTTAATTTTATGGGACAGTTGTGGGAAATGGACCAGCGAAAAAATACCAATGCTTCACAAAGCGATTGTTTACTCAAAAAGCTTATTTGTCGCGGAGGTAAAGAATAAATTGTAGAAACGTCTCTAATAGGCTTTAGCCCATATTGTAAAATAAAATTCTTTTGTTGATATGTATTTTATATTAGAATGAATGAATTATATCGTGTTATTTTTAAATAATTATTTTTTATTTTCGATTTCGTTCAATATTTTTACTCATCAAATATTCTATGGATGTAATTATAATCGAGGCATTACGTATTTTAAAATAAATTTTTTTTATCAACATATTTTCTATATACGAGGATATAATATACGAGGTATATTTTATATATAGGTGATACACTAAACGAAGCAATATGAGTTCTAATTTTTCGTAGTAACATGTTTTTTTTTTTTGCGTTCCTTAAACACCTGCGTTGCTGCACAGCTTCTACATAACCGTTTCGATCTAGAGCAAAACTTCAGCATTGACGTTTATTTTAATTTTTTTTTAATTAAAAAAGTACTTTAAATTATATGTGTTTTAAGAAATTAAAAGCAGATTTATGCATTTGCGTAACGGTAAGTTAGCGCTGCTTATCTGCAAAAATTAATCAACATCCTCAGGTCTAACGGGGTACGATAACGGAATCACAGACTTACGATGAACGTCTCGAGATAAAGCTTTTCTCATATCTAAAAAGAACACATTGAAAATTTTTCAGTCAAAATAACGTAAAGAAACTAATAATTAAAAAAATCATCTTCTAAAAAAAAAAAAAAAACTGTCGCCTTTTTATTTTGTTTGCGGTCAAAAATATAAAATAAGCAATTAAAAATCAAAAAGGTTCAGGTAAGACTAGGGTTGCCAGATATCCGGTTTTTACCTAGACAAAATGCAGTACCGAACCTATAAAAATCTTCAATTTTTTATACTATGTTCTCCTTCGTTAAAGCCGGACATTTGACAATTCTTCAAATATTTAAAAAACTTATAAAGATTTTAAGAAAACAACGAATAAAGAACTGTCACATTTTACAAACAACATTTGAATTGTCCACGACGCCAGAAATTAATAAAAATTTGTTATTTAGCAAATATTTTGCCATAACTTGCTCAAGATAAATCTAAACTACAAATATACTAACTCAAAGTAAAATTTAGATAATTTGGGTAAAGTAATTTTTTTTTTTCTTTTTAAAGTAGTTTTTTTTTTACTTATGTTCTTTAAGAAATTTAATATTTAATATAAAAACATGTTTTCATTATTAACTATAAAATCTATCTTCTATCTCTTATAACACCTTGACATTAATAAACAGTAAACATGACTTTGTTCAGGAATTGTTTTACTAACAGTAAGAAAAATTGTTTTATTTTGGCAAATTCAAAGTATATGTTCATGTAAGTTCATGGCCCACGACCGGGTTTCGAAGTAGAGGGGCACCATCGTCAATTTCTAAAAAAAGTCGTCTATATCTAGCATTTTCTAAAAAAAAAAAGGCCCTATATAAAAAAAGTATGTGGAGGGGGAGGGAGGATTTTTAATACAAAAAATTTTTTTTTTGAAAATTTCGGGGCCCTTAAAAGTGTAGGGCCCAGGGCTTAAGCCTCCTCCCCCCTCCTTCAATCCAGCACTGGCTTCGCTGCTTAAGTTATTTTAACTGCTTTTTCATATTCTATTCAAAATACAGGCAAAAAATATACTTTTTTTTGTCTATTAATAACAAAGCTAAAGGTTAAAGACGTCAGCGTTTTCTACTTTCTTCCTGCCATAAATTTATTGACTGTGTTATAATAGTCTTTTCTGAAGTTTTTATTTTCTCTTTTGATAGAACTAGAACTAAATGTTTTGAAATCACCAAATTATATAAAAAAATAATCACACACATTAAATAAATAAAATTCTACTAAATAAATTATTATACTAAATCCATTAATTAAGGTAAAAATAAGATTAAATTATTAGGATTAAAATTGTGTTTTTTACTTTTTGTTGGTATTCAGATATTGATGTTTTATAATAAGTTATGTAATGTTAATCATTTCTTTTTTAAAAAATTGAAAACACTTCTCGCATACTATAGAGAGATAAGATCTTTTATCTTTTTACGTTTTTCATTACTTGGCTTATGTGTAAAAATTGGGATTGCGCCAAAGTCTCTATTATCTGATACAAAAAGATGCTTTCGCGAGCCGTTTGAATCTTTTTCCAAATCATTCTTTTCAAAAGTAACAGAAAGTTTAAATGCCTCTGAGTTTTGCCTTTAGTAGGAACATGCCATTGCTGCAACATTTCTGGGCATATTTTATCGAATGGAACAGAGTTTGAATTTAATTGTTTATATTCATTTAATTGAACTAATACTGCAGTAACATGTTTGCAGCATCTTCTCATATCATAATTTACAATTACATTTTGCACATAAAACACCCAATTTATACTGACAAAGATGCACATAAAAGATATTATAGCTTTAGACACATTTGCGACAAGGATAAAGAAGGAAGCGTAAAATTCCTAGTTTAGTGCTCTTCGTTTAAATCTATTCAATATAGTTATAAATTTAGAATGAACTCTCCACATTGCTCAGCAAACTGACTTTAAACTGTTTTAGAAAACTTGGATGAAAGCAAATTTGGCTAGATAGAAATAGGTAACCTATTGTTGAGAGTTATAGTGGAGAGTTCATTCTAAATTTATAACTACATTGAATGGATTTAAGCAAAGAGCACTTAACTAGGGATTCTAGCTACATTAAAAAACCTGGTTTTTTAATATAGCTGAAATTAACTTATACTCAGTCAATAGAGTTTGACAAAAAAAGAACTTTTTACTATTTTAAAGTTTTTCATACATTGAACTGTAAGTTGAGAAAACTGAGGTGTGAAGGTCTATTAAAAGGCTATTCTATCTATCTAAGACAATTAGTTCTAATGCACGCAAATAAACAGCCGTTTAAAGAAACTTACGAATTAAACTGAAACGCCCATGCATTGCTCCTAATCTTAATTTTATGGGACAGTTGTGGGAAATGGACCAGCGAAAAAATACCAATGCTTCACAAAGCGATTGTTTACTCAAAAAGCTTATTTGTCGCAGAGGTAAAGAATAAATTGTAGAAATGTCTCTAATAGGCTTTAGCCAATATTGTAAAATAAAATTCTTTTGTTGATATGCATTTTATAATAGAATGAATGAATTATTTTAAAAAATGATGCTAAACTAACACTTCTTCACAATGTGAAGAAGTGTTAGTTTAGCATCATTTTTTCATACTGTTCCAGAGCAGGAAGGAGAATTTTAAAAATTTTCTTGGATTATGTACCATATATTAACATTGTAAATATTTTTGTTGTTTTAAACTGTGTTTAAATTATCTGAAATTTAATTTAAAATTATTTTATAAGATCTGAAATGCTTAAAGGGTTAAAACCCCCTCAATTTAACTTTTTTGCCCCATTTATGACTTTTAGCATTTTGTTCGAATTAAAAAAATAAATAAAGTAAAACCGCTGTTTTAGGGCCCCCTCCTCCCTTGTACGAACATTTACGCTTACAAAGACCCTCCCCTCCTTCTTTCGCATATTTTTTCAAAATAAAGCCCCTCCCCCTAGTTTATTTGACATTTCTCTGTACTTAATTAAAACTTAAGATGTTACTTAATGTACTTATTTAAATCTTAAAATGTTACAACATATTTTAACATTTTAAGAGAAATGATAAAAACCAGTTTGCATACAGTAATTTTTTTTTTTTTTTTTTTTTTTTTTTAAATTTTAATTCACCTCCTCAAAGCCGAGAAGGCCACTACAGACGAGGAGGCTACTTATTTGTGGCTATAACCCTCTCTCAACTCTCAAAAATTTTTAAAAAATCCAAAAAAAACTTGCTTTTATTTAACGTCTTTTTGCTTCTCATCTCGCTACCAATCAAATTACGTTGCGAAAAATAAAAAATATTATTTAGAACAATCGTCGCTCGATTTCTTTTTTCTCTCCTCATAAAGAAATTAAAAAAAAATTGTGAAGTCAGAAAAACAAAACAAAACAATACTGATTTGTTACACACGTGAAACTAAATGTTTTAAAATATATATATATATATATATATATATATATATATATATATATATATATATATATATATATATATATATATAGCTTAGGGTAGAAAGTTTAAGGGAAAACGCGTACGCCACTAACCTGGCGTTTCCTTTGAGCCACAATGTATTCAATATGCAATTGCTGTTTCTTACCAGACTGAATAAACGAAAATATGAAATTTTCTTTTTCTGTGGTCATAAAATTAAAGTTTGTGCTTAATGAGGTCGTGTTTCTACAGTCTTTAGACGCAAGCAATTGAAATTTAATATTTTGAATCCAAAAATTGTGTTACATAGTATCATCAGCATTAATTCTTTAATAAATGAAAATCTAGTTTTGAATTTTCATTTTAACAACGAAGAACCATTAAGAAAAGATGCAAAACTGTAAACACTTTAACTATAAAATGAAATAATATTAGTGAGATAGTTCAAGCAAGGAAGTTTTAATCATATAGCTTGGTATATAGCATAAAGTTTATTATCTAACTTTAAATGTTATTAGTGTCAAGACATTTTTGAAACATATAAAATACACTTCCACTTTTGTTTTAGACCTTCACACCTCAGTAATCTCAACTTACAGTTCAATGTATGAAAGGCTTTAAAATAGTAAAAAATTATTTTTTTTTGTCTAAGTTGACTAAGTATAAGTTAATTTTAGGTAAATTAAAACCAGGTTTTTTAATTTAGCTAAAATTCCTAGTTGAGTACTCTTCGTTTAAATCTATTCAATGTAGTTATAAATTTAGAATGAGCTCTCCACAATGCTCAGCAAACTGATAATAAACTGTAGATCATGATACAAAACTGATAATAAACTGTAGATCATGACCCATTTTTTTGATAAAAATGTTTAATGTCTATTGCTGCAACACAAACAGGACATCGTCCAACTTTTTAGAAGATGAGACATTAAATATTTTCCAGAAGCTGATTTGTTAGACTCAATTCATTGTTTACTATTGTTGATGTATCGGCATTTAAGGTTTTTGTAGCAAACCCTTTTCTTTTTTTTGATCATAATTTATTAAGTTTTTTTTAAGAACCCATTCCAAGTAATGATAGGTTTATCAATTAAAAACATTTCGGTTTTTTTTAACTGAAGAAAATAAGAATCAATAACACAACCTTTATTTAAAAGCTCTGAGTTTAGGTTGTTATTCAGTCTATAAGCTTGACACTAAAGCCCCTACAACCTACCGGTTGTAGGGGCTTTAGTGTCAAGCTTATAGACTGAATAAAGAGTTTAAAAATTTAAATGTTTAAAAAAACAAAAAGAAAGCATTAAGTTGAAAACTAGATGTCTAGATCAAGTTTCAATCTTGAAATATTTGAATAAAAGAATCTGTTTATTAATCTTAATCATTGAATGTGTTGCATAAGTTTTTATTATTTCAGATGCAGTTCTTGAAAAAATGGATGTGTTAGAAATAAAAAAACAGTCACATTAACTTGTATAATTTTACATACTTTTAATTAAAAAATATGCAAGTTTATAGGAGTACCTAATTACTGCTATGCCCCGGACGTCATGAAAGCTCTCGGCTTTTCATTATATATAATAAAAATTTGATTTTTTAGATAAT